ACTTATCTCGAATGTCAACACACACGCGTTGTGTGTGGGTGTGTGTGTGTGGGTGTGTGCACATGTGAGCATAAGCCGGGAATGCATTCCATGAATATGAATATTAACCATATATGGATACAATTCTGGTGGAATGTGTTCTTGAGTGTGTGCAGTTGATTGTTTGTGTGCGTGTGTGTGTGTGTGTGTGTGTGTGTGTGTGTGTGTGTGTGTGTGTGTACACAAGTCAGCGGCCCTTCTTTCTTTCTTCTGGCGCCCTGCTCTCGCTCCGGAGCAGAAGAAGAGCTCTCTCGCCGTCTCGCTGGCGGAGGTTTGCTGGCGGGAGTCGAGAGGGGGGAGAGGAGGGGGACAGTCCCAACAAAGTGGCATGAATTAATGTGACTAATTAACACCACGTTAATTATTTGTAAATTGCATGTTTGGGTCCACGTTACTTGAGAGGCATATGCTGCTGCTTGTCGTGTTCGGCCAAACGAGTGCCAGCTAATCTGCATCTCTGGAGGACGAGCCAATCAGCACGGGGCAGGAGAAGAGGAAGAGGAAGAACAAGAGATGGAAAGAAAGGCGGGGGGGGGCAGGTTGCCAGCAGATATATTTGATCTCGTCTGGACTGCGTGCTATTTTATGTCTGGCGTTTGTTTGGCTCATCGGTGAGTGTGTGTGATCTGACTATTGAAGGATGAGTGATGATGTCGTCAACGTGCGGCTGCAACGTGCGGCTGATGAGGCGCCTTTTTTTTGTTGGCGGCGTTGATCATTTTGTCCTTCGTGTCACAGCGGACTTCTTCTTCTGCCCACACTTTGTTCTTGTGTGTAAAAGAAATTCTTCGTTTTTTTGTGGCGAATCCTCGTTTTAGCCACTGGAACTGGTTGTGCGTGACAAGTTGGTTAATTATTTCAACAGAAAAATCATTCAAATGCAATTAATCATTGAAGTCATTTATCAAGATCCAAAAATCTCGGCCTAACATTGACTGAATGTGAATCTGAAGATGTTACCTCGGACTCTTGTCTGGGTGCAGATAACGATAATTGCCACGACACGTTAATCTGCCAATTTGTGAGCTATTCAGATTTTGTCCACTCGACGTTCCAAACCCCAAAAAGTAAACAAAGTCGTAACGTTTAAACCGGAGAAAAAGCAGAAAACCCCATTTTCAAAGACGTTCGTGCTTTCGTTCCCGACGGCTTCTGAACACGAAGATGGAGAATAGAAAGAGCGGAACATCCTTCGAAAAGGGCCCTCGAGCAAGAAAATGAGGCCCGCCGCACTAAGGCGACGCAGCTAAAGCGCTAGCTGTGCCGCGGTAAACACGCCAGTGGGGGGAGCCGGGAAAGCATTTGGAGGGAAACGTACGGCTGCCGCGCTTGAAATGATGCAGAAGCTGCCAGTTACACGCGTATCTGCCACGCCGCCGCCCCGGGCTACGCACGCCGCCTTTCATTGGGACAGTCTTGGTTGAGACGACGCGACCAAAACCTCCCGAAGGGGCTCGGCAGGCGGGCGGGAGGCAGATCTGTGAATTCACCTGAGCAACCCCCCCCCCCCCCCCCCCCCCCGTCCCGTCCCTCCCTGCCTCCCCCCTCTCTTGCTGTCCCTCTCCCTCCCATTACTTCTCAGTGAGTCGTCTCTCCCTCATTGACAACCCTTATTTTTTTCCATCTCTCTACTCCCTCGCTCTCTCTCTATTTTCCCCCCATCTCGATCCCTCTTCAGCCCACCTCCAACCCCCACCACCCCCACAAACACACCACTCCCCCACATCTACCCCCCCCCCCCCCCCCCCCCCCCCGTCTCCTCAGAGCTCCTCCGCATTAGCAGTCAACTCCACTCGCAGACGTACTTTGTTTTTCAACCGTGGTGGAGACCGAGCGAGGGCAGGGGGCGAGATACAGAAGAGAGAGAGAGCGAGAAAGAGGAAGGGAGAGAGAGAGAGAGAGAGAGAGAGAGAGCATCGTTTACACAGCCATCCAAGCCGAGCGGACCCTGCAGCCCCCCCCCCCTCCCCTCCCCCCTCCCTCCCTCCCTCAGCGACTGCTCACGATGCCAAAAATTTTATGTGTTATTTAGTCATGCCTGACTTTATCGAATTTGAAAAACATGCCAGTACCGGGTACACTCTCTAACCCCCCCCCCCCATCTCCCTCGTTGTCTCCCCCTTTCCGAGTCACCCATACCCTCACCCAACACCGTCCTCATCTTCCTCTGCCTCTCGCTCAGCTGAGACCATCCGGGTTTGACCTCAAGAGCCTCTGGAGCCACTGTCTTTGGGGACATTTCACACCGAAATGAAGTTTTATTCCAAGGCTTTACCCCCCCACCCCCCCATCCCCCCGCCCCCCTTCACGCACACCCACCGCCTCCCGACCACCCACCCTGGGGGAAGGAGAGAGAGAGAGAGAGAGAGCAGAACACTGTAACATGGATTATTTCAGCTTGAAACCGGAGGCCGTGTGCTGCTGGAAAACACGCCGTCCCGGTTCCTTCCAGCAGTTCTAATGACGGAGATTTGAGGGGCAGCAAAATGTGGAAGGACAGACGGTCTCGTTCCTCCGGGCGTGGAAACGCGAGGCTAAAGGACGTCCCGACGCGCGCTCGCCTTCATAATCCCAAGGTCGGGGTCTATGGTTGTTTTTTCGTCGTCCTTTAACAGTCGGGCTCGGCGGGCGGACCGGGTCGCCGGCGCTCGGTGGGGTCAGAGGGTTGATTCCAAAAAGGAAAAACAAAAGATGAGCTCATCGCCTCTTAATTCAAATGTTATTATACAGCAGTGGATCATAAGCCACTTGTCACTTGATGTGGCAGAATTTGGTCAGTCGTCACTTGAATAGTTTGAAGTTCTTTGCTTGGTAACGAGTTCTAACACCCTCCATCACAACGCGTGGTGCGAAGGTGTTTATCACTGCTCATTATTATAAATCAAATGAAAACAAACACGTGTGGATGATGTTTGCTTGTTTTTAACCATGGACATTTGTTTAAATTAGCCGAGCTGCTCCACAACCCGCCCAGGGATGTAAATACGACCTGGCTGGTGTTCAGACAAACATCAGCCCTGACCAAAAAATTGCAGCCTCTTTGATTTTAATGGCGCCATTCTGATGACGCGGGGGGGGGGGGGCAGGGGACCAGTGCTGATATTTGCTGAAATGTAGCAGCACACACTGGATCATTTTCTAGAGTTCTACTGTGGAAATGACAAAAAACTTCTTTTTTTGCCATCAGATAAACCTTCAAACCTGTTGATCGCTTTTTCAAACTGGACCCGACACTTGTATGAAGTGAAAGTGAAAGTGCAGAATCCCCGATCTTCATATTTTGTGCATTGAAGACTGTTTGCTTTATATTCCGAGTAAAACTTTCATTCAACATTCACATCTCATTTTTCCCTTTTAGCCTCACGTTATTGTTTTCCAGGCACTGAAAAAACGCCGCGCCCACGCTGCAAAACCTCCGTCCAGCCACCAAATCAAGTATTGACTGTATTCAGAATTATTTTAGAGGTGAAACAATTAGTTGATCGTCCATCAAAAAACATCAGTTGAAGCTTTGCTTCTCTCTACAAAGGTAATTATGGAGATTGTTTTATTGCACGTATGAAGTTTACATTTTTATCAGCATACCACTCAATAGAAGGAGCTGTAATATACAAAGATCTAGAACGCGTGTGGCAGGATAACTTACTGGGATTTCCACTGACATTGAGTGGACAAAGAGCCTCTGAGCTATTTGGGGGCCGTGGTGCTGGTTTCTGAAGCCCTGTGAGGGGAAGCTCCTCTGTGAAAACAGCGTGCTATATTTTCCTGATTGAAAGTAGAAAGCTTAGGAGGGAAGGCGTTTCAGGACACGATTTCATACTGTAAGATGCATCCAGGTATTGCAGTGCCTCCGTAATGCAACGGGGAAAGCAAGCCCCTCTCTCTGTGCGTATCATCTATTCCTATTCCTTGAAGCCAGCTAGCACAGGAGATAGAAACCAGACGAGGCCCGAGGGCCCCCCCCTCCCCCCCCCCGTTCATTGTCTCTTTAGGCTTCTGCAAAAGAAAAAGTTCACACCGCACAAGGCGTCCATCTTTATAATTCAGTTGAATACTAAACTGAGTTGTGGGATCATATGATTCTGAAAAAGTATTCTGGAAATACTTGTATTTGTTCAAATGGGAGAGTTACGCTACATGAAGTGAAGTCGTCTCATAGAACACGTGGATGGAGAGGCCCAAACTCTTCGTCTCGTTAGTTTCAAGAAGAGTTTTAATCTTCAGACGTGTTGGATCGTGGTGAGATTCATTTGACTTGTTTCAGGGGAAAATCATACTTGGGATGAAGGATTTCGCCGTTTCTTTATGAGGTTTCCTGAAGCGCTGTTCGAAAAGGTTTCACGCAAATCGAATAGCAAATCCACAGCTCGCCTTGTTGCTTCGGGAATCTCGATTCCAAAATTGAGCGCGGTCAGCAGGGCGGCTGGACAGCGTGTGTTTAGCTGTGAGTTCATTCAGATTTCTAATGATTCTACAGCAGTGCTCAAAATGATTTGTGCCTATTGTTATCTACTTATCGTTCAGTCCCATTAAAGGGCTCCTCCGCTGTTAATGAGAGCGGACGAGGGGAAGAATACAAATGAAGATGACGTTTGGCGGTATCACCAGCGACCAGCTGTAATGAGTCCAGAGGTCCGATCAATAGACAGCAGACTCGGTGCTGCTTCCCCGGGTTCCTCCAATGATTTTGCACGATAGAAAAAGGGTCTAATAGGACGAGTAGAACACATTCATTGTCAAATGTCTAATTTGAAGATCTGATCATTTTCTGCCTCTAAGGAGCTTTTGACAGCCAATAAAATCTCAGCCTTGATTAATGACTCTGCAGCAGATGTCCTCATCAAGCATCTGTTTTACACACATAAACGTTTTTATATTTTAGGAAATCTGTACGTCTGCCCCCCCGCTCCCCCTCTCATGCATTCAGCATCTCTGTGCTCTGCTCTTTTGTCTCCTCGCAGCGATCGGCCGGACGTTGATCCCCCGTTATTTCAGCACGGTGTTCGAGGGGGGGGTCAGCGAGCTCCACTACATCCTCAAGCACTCCAAGGAGTCCTTCCACAACTCCTGCATCACCCTGGACTGCGATCAGTGCACCATGGTCACCCAGCACGGGAAGCCAATGTTTACCAAGGTAACGCCTGACCCCCGAGCCCCCCTCCCCATGTTGAATGACCCACGAACAAATAGCGTAACCTGTGTTGATCATAATCAAGCAATGCATTGATAAGATAAAGAGTAACTTACCGTAAAATACACTGTTTAACTGTGTACTTCTAATATTATGATTCTGAGCGCATTCTGTAGTGTTCCTCACATCAAAAGTCATCGTAATCCCCCAAATATTTGAGAGTCTGATTGGAGGTTCGAATTGTGTTAACTTCAACAAAAAAATCAACCAACTATCTACTAATTAAGACGTTGTGCAGCATATCTTGTGTTAAAGAGTAGATTCACAACCACAGCATCGTGACTCTTGTTACCGGGTAGATTTGAGCAAATGTGAACGGATCCCTCCATATAAAATGCTTTCACGCTCACAACTGTTCCTGCAAAAATCCACCCTACCTTTATTTTCCTACGACCAAACATGTGCAGCTATCGGGGCTCAGATTTAATGGGGGGAAATTGTCACGCGTCGTCATATTCACCCTCTTTGCTTATCAGCATTTCGGCCTTTCCACCAGACCCCCCCCAAAATAAAAACCCGGAGGCAGCACTCCTCGAGTTAAAGACGTCGGCACAGTCTTAAGCCCTCGGGAAAGGAAAAAGGAAAAGCTAAGGCGGCTTGAATAAGATCTTTGAGGAGTGCGGTTTATTCTGCAGGATGAGTGAAGCTGGAGGGGGGGGAGGGGGGGGGACACAGATTGCACAGGTGAGATAATCCAAACCTGACACCGAGGTGTAGTGAAAGCACGCGAGCTGAGCTCCCGTGCTTTTGTCTTTGGGGGGGGGAGGATCCCCCCGTGAGCCGGAGTGAACGTACCTGCGCTCGGACTCTTGGTGTTCTGCTGCCTGAGCGGAACCCGGGTACCTCGTCAGCGGCCCGGCAGCAGAAGGGCCTCCGTGAACCGTGAACCCTGAGGCGCGATGGTCCCCGCCGCTAAAAATAAATTGGAATTTTTGGCTGACCTGCGAACGACTGAAAGTTAAAGAAGTTAATTTTAAAATACAGCAGTAAAAAGACAAATCTTGCAACTATTTTTGTCTTTTATTGAGATCTAAATAATAATTTTCTGCAGAGAAGTCTGATTATTTCAGTAGTTTTTAATTAAAATGAACCTGATGTAAGAATTTGGTGGTCGTTTTATTGACACATTGGCAGCGATTGGCCCTTTTCACTCTTGTTTTTCAATTGACTGGGAATCTGATTCAATATGAGAAGGAGCTGTTTTCACCTTTAATGGATTTGTCGTTTTCTAAATAGTTATAAGGCTGCGTTTAGATTTGATTTAAGCAGTAAAGGGTTCAAACTCAACGCTGAACCCTGCAAGTTATTTGAAGCTTTTGTCGATATGTGAGAGCTTAGAAAAGTCTGATAATGACGTATTGACTGATTCCTTTATTTGTCACATAAACGCATTTGCACAATGGTTATACTTCAGACTAAATTAAAAATACACAAAACACAGACAAATAAAAGTCTTATTATACCAAAGCTTATAATAATGTTCAATGACTGGGAAATTTGATCAAGTGTTCAAATGATTAAATATCCTCTTTGGTGTTGCTTTGGTTTGACATTTGTGTGAATGAACAAGATCCTCACAACGAGCTTATAAACCATCAGCCTACATACTCGTTTTTTAAAGCAAGACTTTGACCCAGTAGAAACATTTCACCCGGGAGGAGTTTTTGATTATTGCAGAGGAGGACCTTTATTTACCAGAAGTGAAATTCTACAATAATTTTGCATGAGACAGATGTTTACCTCAGTATAATGTGTATGTGTGACTTGCTTGGCTGCATGCATATGGGTTTGTGAACAATGGGTTGGTGGTATCAGTTTTATGTAAATGTGGGGGGGGGGGGTGGATTCATGTGGTGGGTTGTGTGCGTGTGTGTAGCCTTGTCTGTGTGTCTGTGTCTACCGGGGGGTAGTTTTCTATGTCTTGTCAAATATGTAAATCGTTATGAAAAATACACCGATAACATGCACAGGAAATGTCTTTTATGTTGCTGTTGTTTGCTTTTTGTAAACAAGGCTCCCCAAAAGAAAAAAAAAAAAAAAAAAACTAATATATTACAAGTGTCCGATATTAACCGAACGGGAACAGAGCGGCTCAGGCCCCGGTCAACAAAAAGCTAAATTTGACGCTCGCAGCGCTGCTCTCTTTTCATCTTCACCTAAATTGGATGAGAAGAATTAATTCATTAGAAGAAAAAAAGAAAAAAAGAATTCCAATAAGTGAGCGTGTTCTCCCTGAGCTCCCAGCAGCAGGAGCCTGCAGCTCTGGAGGCCCGAATCTCAATCAGCTCTGCCTCACCTCGCTTTTCTCCCCCCCCCCCACCTCCCTCCCTCCCTCCCTCCCATCGCCCTCCTCCACCGCATCTCACCGGCACCCCCCCCCCCCCCGCTCTCTTTTCTCTCATCCCCCTTCCTGACTCGCTCATTCCCTCCTCGCTCGCTCTCGCTACTCCACCGCTCTCTCATCCACCCTCCCCCCCTCCCACCCCCCCCACACCCTCTACACACACACACACACACACACACTCACTCACATCCTTCATCCCTAGAGAAATCATCCCCAGCTCCCATCTCGCTCTCTTGCTCTCCCACTCTCTCTCTCTCTCTCTCTTTCTCGCTCTATCCGTCTCTTGCTCTGCTCCTCTCTCTCTCTCTCTCGCTCGCTCTCTCTCTCTCTCCCTCCCCTCCTTTCTCTCTCTCTCTCTGTAAAATTTCAATTTTGGACTTGGTTTTATTGGCATGGCCATTTTTGAGAAAAGAACTCAATTCTCAATTCCTGTCTTTATTTCTGGTGGTTTTGACCGTCATTCCTGTCGGTGATGACGATACTTTATTCTTCAAGTTAAGATTTGATTTGATCTGATCAAGAGATACTATACTTATTTTGCATTAAGAGAACATACGACATAAAGGTCGAGGGCAAAATGCGGGCGGAATAAAGACTTTAATGTAACGTGAGATCCTCCAACATGCAGGATGAACCTACAGAACAGAACCAACACGCCTCATTTGGTCAAAACCTGCTGGAGAATCATCAAATAGTATTATGTCAGCATATTGTACGGCATTCAGTAACTTGACCCTCTTTCTTTTTTTTTTAGCTTACTTTTTTCATCAGCATTTTGGAGGGTGGGGGGGGCGGTTCAATTCAATTAATTTTATATTTATTTTTTATACCCCAAAATCGCAAATTACAAATTTTCCTCAGAGGGCTTCACAGTCTGTACACATCCTCCGTCCCGAAACCCTCCATCAGCACAGGGAAAACTCCCCAAAAAATGAAACCCCTGAAAAAGGGAAGAAAAGAAGGGATCCCTCTCCCAGGATGGACAGAACCACCATCAGAGAGAACCACCATCAGATAGAACCACCATCAGAGAGAACCAACGTCAGGTGGGCCCACCATAGGAAGGAACAACCACAGAATAGACCCACCATCAGAGAGAACCACCATCAGATAGAACCACCATCAGAGAGAACCAGCATCAGATAGAACCACCATCAGAGAGAACCACCATCAGATAGAACCACCATCAGAGAGAACCAGCATCAGATAGAACCACCATCAGAGAGAACCACCATCAGAGAGAACCACCATCAGAGAGAACCAGCATCAGATAGAACCACCATCAGATAGAACCACCATCAGATAGAACCACCATCAGAGAGAACCACCATCAGATAGAACCACCATCAGGTAGAACCACCATCAGATAGAACCACCATCAGTGAGAACCACCATCAGAGAGAACCACCATCAGATAGAACCACCATCAGAGAGAACCACCATCAGGTAGAACCACCATCAATGAGAACCACCATCAGGTAGAACCACCATCCACAGACGCCAGTGGGAGGGAAGGTTGGGGATATCATCGAAGCAATCGAGCCGATGCGGCCCCCTCCTGTGCCAGTGAGGGCATTCATTTGATAGAATAAAAATAGGATCAGAAGCGAGAGCGTACTAAGAGTTACCATGACCACCTGTATGTCTGTAAGAGCAGTGCAGCTGGATATTAGTACCTTCATCACAGTGTTATGAGGAAGCTCTCGTCTTTCTTTGATCAGTCTCAGTTCAGATCAGTTCATTTGGATTTCCGTGTCCCTGTTTTTTACCTGAAACGTATCTCCTTCCCCCGAATGAATATATTGGATTATTAGGCAGCTTCTGTTCCGTACAGTTTGTAAAAAACGTGTGCAGAAGTTCACCCCTTTGTTTATTTTCTCTAACAGTGGGCTAAACATTATATACTTTATATTTTTTAACATTTTGACCACTGCTGACAGAAGACATTAGAGACATTCAGGAAATATTGGGAGAGAGAAACAGAACTAAGGTCTTTCAATCAATTCTGCAATCAAACCAGCACCACATTATTCTATTCTATTCATAGGGGTGAAATATATCGGGCTAATCGATTAATCAAATAGCTGTGAACCCAAAGTATTCACAGCAACGCACTTTGATTAAATATGCATTAACTATAAATAACATTTAATGCTATAATCTCTAACTCTAAACTCTTACTGACACCGTGGAGGTGTACGATAATAAAGCCTGTCGGCAGCCCGCTGACACAATTGAGCATATTTAGTCAACTTTGATCCTATTTATATTCATCAGAAGCAGTCGTGAGTGCTCATAATAATCAATTTAATGACCTTTAGCTCCTCTGCTGTTAATTGATTGTCACGTACGGGTACAGTATTGAACAGCGCCTCAGCAGCGGGACGTCGCTGTTATTCTTTTTGGACAAACCCTGAACCCGTTGTGTGGAAGATTTACGACCCCGCTCCTGAATCAATGCAGGCTCTCAGTGAGGGGCCGCACCATTTAATGGACCTCTTTTTAATTTAAAGAAGAGAAATGTTAGATCCAAACCAGTCCTCCCTCAGTGTGTGGAGTCTGTGGATTCCTTGTTTAATGCGTCTTTGCACCGGTGCTACTGGGACGCCGTTTATTGTGACTTTGCAATGAGGCCATTTTTCATTTTTGTTTCCGATTTAGCCGGTTAGCCAATTCATTTATCGGTCGCGGAGAAGACGAGAGCTCGTGGAGGGAAGGAAAGGGGGGCGATGCTGAAGATCCGGTTGGCACCATGGAGAAACAAATCAATAGTGCAGCGTTGCCTCGCTGGAGCACCTGAGAGCATCAGAAGACAGCGGCGCCCCGCCGGACGCGACGGGAAGGATTCCGCTTTCAGGAGCGATGTAAAGAAGGGTTCATTTCCTCATAAGTCTTTTGTCTTTTAATAGGTTTCCCAAAGGGCGCGAAAACTCATCCACACACGTAATGACCATGATGCTTTTTATTTCAAAAGAAGGAAAAGGAAAAGCACCCTCTTTTTTTCAGCAGTTTGAGTTCTAGTGGATTAATTAACAACCTTCCTTCTTATCTTTCTTTAGGTGGATCATTTTGGAGTCAGAACTTCGATGCTGTGCATATACATGTTTAGAATGTACAAATAACATCTGTTGTTTCTACTCCTCAATCTTTTTTCATTTTGCAAAATTTTGATTACCATATTAGACTTTAAGGTTTTTTATTCCATAATATTTAGAGATCCATGGTTTTCAGTTAACAGCATTATTTGCATTTTGGGGGCGTAACAGGTCATGTTGCTTCCTTCCTTTCACTCTGAACTCTGAAGTCAGCTGCTGGACAATTTTCTGTTAAAAGAATAAAAAAAATGAAGATAAAGAGTATTTTCAGTGTCCATTAAACAACACGGATTATTTTTGAGCGCTGCTTTAGTCTAATCCACACGTACGTTATCCACGCCCATTCCAGATGTGTTTGCATGGAGGACCTGAATTGAGTCGCGGCACACAGACAATGAAAGTGTTGATTTCCAAAAAGGTGTATAAAGAAGAACCGTATATTAGATATTTAGTTTTGATAAATGACTTTAAGACAGAGTGAGCAATGCTATTGTTTCCCCTCATCAGTGAAACCAACAGAAGGTTTGCCAGATTTTCAAATGAAATATGCTTTAATTATCAGAACAATAGAACATGCAGGCTCCCTCATGTGGCACGAAGGAATACTGAAGGTCTAAATATAAAATGATATACTATACATTATCAACCCTTTCAACCCAAATAAAGTCATTTTTAATTGTCTTTGGGAGTAATATATCTATACATATGTTTCCCTCATTCCTCAATCTATATGTATACGGTATATCTATATGAATGTATATCATGTTGTATATAGACGCACTATACAACAATAGAATAAGGCTCTAGCATTATATTTAATATAATGATGAATAGTTTAAACATAAACCATTGTTAGATGTTTATAAAAGCTGCATAATGAATGTACAGGGTATATTTGTAATATTTTCCCATAGTGATGGCAGTAATAGAGATATTTAATAACAGTTCAGGTGAAAATAAAAGTGCAGTAAATGTCTCTCAAAAGTTCCTGTCATTCTTCAATTGTTCTAATCCGGTATTTCTACATAACCATGCACGTTGTCACATAAAGGAGCAAAACTGTCTCCATATGGAATTTATTGGAATCTCAGTCAGTTCAATAACTCTGGAAACGCACCATTGCACAAAGCGAGTTTCCACATTTTACTGTCGAGAGAAGCAGCTGTGTATTTTTGTCGGGGCAGTCAGGCTTCTATTTATATTTGTGTGTGTGTGTGTGTGTGTTGGATTTAGTGCTGTAGCATGTGGCCAGTAAGGTAGGAAGCTGGATTGGTGGGGGGGGGGGGGGGGGGCGATATGGCCGCTAGCCTCTTTCTTGCTGATCCTCAGGAGACCATCTGCGCTCGGGGCATTGATTAGAGTGTGTCTGGTGGGATTACATCTTTGCCGTTGCCATGCCAACTATTCAGCTGACTCCCCCCCCCCCCCCCTTCCCTCTGTCTGTCTCTCTCCTCTCTCTCCCTCGTTGTCACAGCAACGAAAAATGGGAGAAGCGCAAAGGCCCCGGCAAGCGCTGAATTCAGCTAAAGGGGCAAAAAAATGTTTTTTTTTTCTTCCTCATCCGTCTCCCTCTTCCTCTCCCTCTCTCTCTATCTCCTCCTAATTGGCGACTCTCTCTGACCCGAAGTTCTTTTGTCTCTGGTGTAAACACACCCCTCTCCAGATTACATTTATTTTCACATTTTAGAAATAGCAGGATGGTTGAGAGGCCCAAGGACAGATGCTCCGAATGAGGGAAGCGAGCAAAATAACTCGCTTCGTTCTACAAAGTCCTTGAACAATTTCCAAAACGGCGACTAAACCCTTCCAGGGATTCCAAAATCACGTCTGGCCAATAAACACAGATTTTTTTTTTTTCTGTTTCTGTTGTTTTCTGTGTAAAATGAGCCGAGGACGCCGGGCGGCGGTTAGAGATTCCTGGAAGCGCGTCCAGGTGAGGAGAAATGTGAAGCAGCACTAACCATGTGACTCTTTGTCCAGGTCTGCACGGAGGGGCGTTTGATACTGGAGTTTGCCTTCGATGATCTGATGAGGATCAAGACTTGGCACTTTACCATCCGGCAGTACCGGGAGCTCATCCCTCGCAGCATCCTGGCCATGCACGTGAGTGTGACATCACTATTTTTAAAAAGGCACTGTGCATACAGCCAAGACACCGTTTAGTACCTACTCGTGATATTTAAACGCCAACAAAGCAGTTTGGAGGGATTTTTGCAGACCAATTTATTTTGCAGACATCAAAGGCCACCGAGGATCAAACAAAAATTTTAAAAAAGGGAAAGAGGGAAGAAAAAAGTAACATGGACGAACAAATAATCTGCTTGATTCCAGTAAATGAAACACACATTGAGCCGTGAAGCTCACAGAAGATCTTCTGTTTTCAAATGATTCCCGACTGGAGTTGTTCAAAACAGCAAAGCTGCTTCTTAAATATCCTGACATTTCCGCCTCAAGGAAGTCCAATTCCAACACGGTGACAGGTGCCGCTATTATTTTGTCCACTCCATTCCCGTCAACAGGGCGGGATTTCAGAAACACCTTCATACCACAACACAAACAGCACACAACGAACATCGTAAGCTGGATTTAAGAAGATGATGAAGTGACTTCAAACAATTCATCAATTTGAATGAGCCAACGTTCATTTGTTTATTCTCTGATTTTAGTTATTTTTTATTTATAAAAGAAATCTAGTTTGACCGCGATAATCGGACCAGCTGTCTCCTTCCTCATATTCACAGCTTTCAACTTAAAAGAACATCCGGAAAAACTGCCGGTGAGCGAAGAGAAATTACCAACTTAAAGTCGGATTTCCTAAAACCGGCAGCACAGTTCCCTGCCTAATAAATGAGATTTATTCGGAGATTCATCAAAAGATCGTCATAAACTTTCTTCCTTTGTGTCAGTTTTCTGTTTTTACAGCATGGATGAAAATACCCGCCTCCAGCTGAGGGAGCTTATAGTAGCTTACGGTCCTCTTACGTTGGTTTTCCCTTCCAGGAGGAATATGCGATACAGTTCCCATACCTGCACTTCCTCCCATTTGATCGATGAATAAAAGATAATCACTCCAAGTATTTTCCACTTACCCCCATGGACCTAAAGGTGTGTGTATAAAAGGCAGCTTCGTCTTTATAGGCAGCTTCTTTCTTTGGCAGAAACCTTCTTGTGAATTTTCCCTCGCCAATAAATTGGCCCCTCTGGGTATTCACACTAATTCCTGGAGAGTGGGATGTTGTGGGGGTAGGTGGGGTGTCGGTGGGGGGGGGGGGGAGGCGTGCGGGTCCCGTGCAGCTCTTTGCTGATTTGTGCGCGAGCGTGAGCTCAGCCTTTTGATCGCTGCCTCGACTAATGAAAGCGGATCCGGACGCATGGGAGTCAGAGCAGGAGAAGCTGCAGAGTTCAGATGTAGACGCTGTGGAAGGCCTCGTTTTTGATGAGATCTCGACTACGGTTGCACCAGAGGAACTGTAATAAAGTTTATTTCTTATTTTGGTCTTCAGAAGTTTTAGAAAGAAACAGCCGGTGTTTGATTTTAGTATGATTGATGCTGCAGGTCTGTACTCAGTGATGGAAAGAGTTTCTCCAACTGAAGTAGAATCTCAGGAGCTTTAGAATCAAATATTAGATTTTGACTGAATTTAAAATGTAGTTTTAATGTAGCAAATCATGATCGTGCATCCAAACGAATCATTCATTCATAGTCCAGTGTTGTCGCTCTAAAGACTACTGAAGTACAGTTCTAGAGTATTCACTTAACAACGCTGCAAAAGGGTTCATTTCTTTGCTGGAGTGGCGTGTAAATATACCAGGACAATAAAGAAGCCCACATGGATAAAACACGGCGGACGTGTCCCCTCGCAAACATCTGCTCCACGCACCTCCATCCCACACGCACACAGTCTGCACGCCCTCACACGCACATCAAGACGTGAGCGTTAAATGTCCTGCATTGTTGTTTTTACAATGGATCCTTATGGTTGGTAAATAGTAAGTCTGTTTGGAAGAAGAAGTCAGATTGTAGTGTTCTCTCTCTATGTGAATAAATGAAGACTAAAGAGAACAATATTAACCCCATTTCCTGAAGTAAAGACGACCATAAAACTGAACGTAAAATGTATTGATTCAGCTGAGCAGCCTCTTGTGACTTAATGCTGCGTTTCGGACCTTCTTCAATTCAGGATGTGTTTTCCTCCAGTTGCTTCCCAGTTGCTCGTCTGCCTTTGACCTCTTGACCCCGGCGTGCGGCGGACGCGCCGGGCCCTTTAACCCGGGTCGCTCCACGCGCTCCTCATTTGGGACTAATTGTGCTTGATGAGTGAAGTGGTCCAGATTCAAATAGTGCACGCTAATGCACTTCTGCGTCACGGAGGAACTCTCTCTCTCTCTCCGCTCCCCTCTTCACTTTCTCCGCGCTGAGATGCGACTGCAGATGGATTAATGCATTTTTCATGAGGCTCCTGCTCAGTCTGGGTGTTTTGCTCTGTCAATACCTTCAGCTTCTTTATGATTTGACTGCTCATTGTTGGATTGGCCCACAGGCTCACTGAGAAGTCTTCTTCTTCTCCTTCAGTCAGAGCTGCTTTGGTCTTATTTAAGATGTATTATTTACTCCTTAAGGGATATGTATGAAGACAGGTGGTCAGTTCTTAATCCCGTATGTCACCCGACTAGACCTCATCAAGGTGCTGCTGTTTTAGGCTTCACTGGAACAAAAGAGCAATACAGAAGAAAATCGATTATTGCTAATTTGTGGGCCGTTTTTTAAAGACATAACATTGTCAAAGTCATTTTTGCCGCCGGACCAGATGCTGTGTACGTACATTCCTGCATACACACATGCATATATTCATATACACACTTACTTACATACACATCAGACAACAGCATCATCCCAGTAAAGATACAGAATTGAAAATGCGTGTAATTTGAAATGGTGTGACAAAATAATATTGATTAATTGGCCTCACAGCGCGAAACGAAGGCCTGAAATTCTTCCCATAATTCCACTCGGCTTCACGGCAACAACGTGAAAGATTTGAGGGTGTGAATGTGTTGAATGTGCATAATTTGATGATTGCCAATTAGCCCAGTTGCACGTAGATAATTAGTTTATTTGTTACCAGTTATATACAATGTAACAAAAATAAAAGATATGTCTCTCATATTTCTGTCCGTGTTCCTTCGTCCGCTGTGGACTTCAGGCACAAGACCCTCAGGTGCTGGAACAACTGTCCAAAAACATTACCCGCATGGGTTTGACCAACTTCACCCTCAACTACCTCAGGGTAAGGACTCTCTGTGTGTGTGTGTGTGTGTGTGTGTGTGTGTGTGTGTGTGTGTGTCTGACAATGCCAATGATTGTCATTCTGCTTTTGTTTTTGTTCTCGTCTCCTCACACTTTAATGCACACAGAGGAACAATTCGTGTCCATCTTTGAAGGAAGTTTTTCATGTTGCTGTAACTCTCTTACAGCGATGTGTCTAGACAGGACGTCTTCATAACACTGAATATTCATGTTTCACCATAACTAATGTTGATGACATTACACGCACTGCTGTAAATCTGTACACTCCCTTATTATTTCTTTACTTTATTTAAGGTCATCTGGTGAATTTAAATATTTCTTCTCTCTCTTACTGGATTTAAGCGTATGCTCTTATTTATGCGCTGGACACGTTTTGTGACTTCATATCAAAGTGCGCGGCATCAAAACAGCCAAAACACAAGCACTTATTTCTTCTTTACTCTCGGCACATACATGCTTTTCCACCTGACCGCAGCAATGCAATTTACGGAAATAGGAAGTATAAGCCGGCTGAATACATTAGTGATTATTTCACAGGGTTTTGTTTGTGTTTCTCGGCGCCACAGTTGACTGACAGCTACGGTTTCCAAATGGGAGAACAAGAGCGAGCGGGAGAGAGGAGAATTAATTGGATGCAGAGAATTAGCATAACATTAATGAACGCTCCCTGTTGAGACTCATAATTGTGAAATGGCGCGCGAATCAGGCGCTGCTTATATTAGCTGAAGAAAGAGCCGGCGAGGGAGAGGAAGCAGGGTGGCTGTTTTTGTTTCCCTCTAACAATGATTTTCTATGCAGAAAGCTACTGTAATGCGGCCGAAGGGGGGACAACACAGCATTCAAGTATCTGTAATTACTCACTAAAAGATTCGGCTGCTGTTTGTTCCTTTTTTCCGTGCTTCAGGTGGTCGGTGCATAAGTGACTCAAGGAAACAAGGATTGTGCATTTGTGTGCATTTGCGTTTGTGTTTAAATAGATGTGTTTGAATGGCTTTTGAAGACTGGTTTGTTTTTCTAAATGTTGGTCGAAAGATATTCCTCATATATCCTCGCGTGTCTCTAAATTAGGAATTTCCCACAGACCAATGCGGTTTTATTTGAAATTCTACGGAAAACATCAATGAGGGATATAAACTTCATTTTAGTATTATTTCACTAGTAGTTTAATCAAATTGTGTTTATTTGGTTAAATCTGCATTTCCAGCTTGTGCGTTTTAAAGAGCATCAAAAGGAAAGACAGATTCGTCATTGTATAATGTAGCAGTGGTTCCCTACCTTTCTGGCCCTTTGTGGCTCTTAAAACAAATCAATATCCCCTCTCTGATTAATAGACTGTTTCACTCGGGTACTATTCGAAGGCCTGAGAAGCTCAAATCACAGACGACCCCAACAACCAGCTGTGCGCGCTACGCGTTGCACGAGCAGCATGGACCAAAGTGGTAACTGCCCGTATGAGTTTGCATGACTAAATACACTCAAAACATATTTACCTCGACTGTTATCGAAGGACGTCAAAGCGACGGACTTGTTTCCTGGTTGAGGGGTTCCACCAGGCCTTTGGCTCACACACACACACACACACACACACTATATCTAGTGTATTTAAGCCGTTCTATGTTTCGGAGCTGCCGGCTTCCTACTATTCAGCCTGAAAATAGCCCTTGTTTTCGGGCTGAGAGCCAGGGCTTGTTGGCCGAGCTGTGGAGGGATATTACTGTGTCAGGAGGGACCTATCGGAGGAGAACATGGGATTAGTCTGCTGCAGGGATGTTCACTTTACCTCCAGCCGCACGGCAACAAGACACTTCCGTGCCAACACAGTGTTCCTGCAGTGCCGTGTTTATATGGAGTCATTTGGAGTAAGGAGAATGCGTAGTTTGAAACCCACGACCCGGGGTGATGATGGAGCGTATCTGCTGGGACTCCATGGCGCCGTCAGGGGATGTGTGTAGAAGCCTCCACACACATCGCAGTAGGTCATATATACAGTACACCACAACCGCCCTGGTTTCCCCTTTTCACCTCCGAGTTGCCGTACAGTGCGGCCGGAGACGGGACAGGCATGCTGATTAGATCTGGCTTCAGAAGCGTTGGGGTGGCGGGGTGCCGAAGGTCAGATGGGATCATGTGAGCATGCAGCGAATGATTAACGGTCTCCTTTCTCTCGCTAACGACTGGCCGGTGCCCTTGAGCAAGTTAGTAAACCCTTTCGCTGCAGTCATCTCTGACCTTACATCGCACTCTGGTTTGTGAATTACTAACAGCGACCACATGGTCAGCCGAGCCTCTGTTGCATCAAACGAATGACCTTTATTTTCCAAGATGTTCAGTTTAACGTGGGCGTCTTTTCGCCGTGACAATGACCACTTCCTGAGCTGGACTACGTTAAAAGAAAAGTCAGGTGGAGTCAGAAGAAAAGACAGGGAGACAAACTAAACATTTTTTTCCTGGTTAGTGGAAAAAAGGCATCTGATCTTAATGGCGCTCTGTGATTGGTCCAGAAATAAAGGCCGAATTATAACCGTCCAATGACTGCGCTGCGGCTGCACCATCAAACGTTAGGACTAAAGACGCCGTGGCTGGTATTATCTAGACGTTAAATAGATGACACTGGTTCATCTCCCAGCGGGTTTCACAGCTGATTTACAGTTTTCAGGGAATAAAAGCGGCTCTTCTGTGTCAAGTGTGTGTGTGTGTGTGTGTGTGTTTTGATGCATGAACGTGTTCTATCCATGTTGGGAACGCCTCCGCTAATTAACAGAGCAACAATCTGAATGTTTGCGTGCGTTGTTTTTGCTTTGAACAGGGAGAAAACCAAATGCGATAAATGTGCTTTAGTTGAACTCTGTGTGTTCTTCCCGTTGTGCCAGCAGTTGTGTGTCATCCTGGAGCCCATGCAGGAGCTCATGTCAAGGCACAAGACCTACAACCTCAGCCCCCGGGACTGTCTCAAGACGTGCCTGTTCCAAAAATGGCAGAGGATGGTCGCCCCCCCAGGTAACGACCGACCGCCTCCTTCTCTGGTTCTCTTTTTTTATGAAATGAAATCCAAAACGGGATCGTGACGACAGAAATGATCTTCTCAAATGTTGCAGATCTATTTTTAAGTGTTGATCGTTGATCGCATAATAGGTCTTAATTCTGTACCATCACTCACTTTGCAGGAATAGTCATTTTCTCATGTTTTTATTGCATCATTTATTTTTACAAATTGGCCATCATATATCTTAATCCTTTAAATGTGTTTTGCCTGTCAGGTATGTGAAATTAACCGAAATTCAGGGCTGCCCCTTGAATCTCCACCTCGCCAATCCAAACGGGCCTCTCAGCTCTCCATGATTGATGTTTTAAGGGCGGTTTCTGAAAAGTACCAGACTTAAATTGGCTGTGCAGTCTTAAGCCGAACAAAAAAAAAAAAAAAAAAAAGACTAAGCCGAGTTTTTTTTTTGGACACATCGGAGTGGCTGCAAATTACAGCAATGCTTAGCGAGGCGTGACGAGATGTCTTTAAAAACCAACAGCAGTCAAAAAGCCTTTGACTCAGACCTGTGTAACTCTAATTAAGAGTGCCGGCTGCAATCAGACTTGTGGATCCAGCTCCTCGGCCAGCGGCTCCCCAGCGTCGACTTTGTCTTCAAAGAAAGGGGGAAAAAAAAACATGGAAAGCATTTTATGAATATAAAGTATGAGGAGAGACAAAAAAAAAAAAAAGCTCTTGTATTGATGATTAATTGTGGCCTTGGAAGGAGAGCTTGATATGAAAACCTCTATGGGTGCTGCAGTTTAACATCCTATATGCGATTAATGAGAAACAAGCTTAATGGGGTAGTGTTAAAGTATCTGTGTTATTGGGTGACTTTGGTGGATTCAAACCAAGCCCTTTAAAACCCCAAAGGAAGAGGTCGAGGCGGCGGTACAGCAGCCTCGCCAGTGCTCCGCCAGATTAAATGACTGCTTTTCTCAATATAGTCTGGTGGTTGTGAAGGGAGCGTAGATTAGGCCAACGTTGTGTCATGATTACAGGTGTCTAAATTACGTTTACTTTACTATACTACTGGTTACACTACTGGTGAGCCTTTAAAGAATCCAAACTATCCCTTTAGTGAGTACTCTTTAACATGTTACACACTAAAGGGACACTTGGATATAATATGCAGCTTCATTGCTCCCAGTTGTTGGTTGGTTTTCTGTTTTTTGATCCACAAGTTGCTCTTTTTGTGTAATGTTGTCTCAGAAGTAAGGCCTCCGCCTCCCTTTGTATTTTCTCATGAAGTTCGCCCGGAGTTTGCGGTTTAGCTGGGATGGCGTTCTTCCCTCGTTGGTGTGAGCGTGCTATTCCCTCTTTCCTGCAATTCTTCTCCAGCTTGGAAACTGGTTGGGATTTTGCCAGGAAGGAAGCCACAGGCGCATTTATGCTCTGATAAGTCCTTTTGGTGGAAATGGGAGAGATTTTAGTGCGTCACCAGTTCAGCATCGAAGGAAACCACTTGGATAACAGAAAAGATTGTCTCCGACAACAGGGACGCTTTTTCACACTCACGTCTGTCAAAGTCAGGAAAAAAAAAGTCCCCTTATTGTTTTGCCTCTAATGTAGAGTTTCAGTTTGTTTGTATCATGAGTCGCTGGTTATTGTTACTGAATATGAAAGCATCATTTTCTGGTTCCCCTCGAAATTCAAAGGAACGATTTCTAACAAATGTCGCTAAATCTTCTATTCATGAATTATGCTCAACATTGATTATTTTATATAGTAATAAAAACAGCAATATCTCTATTTAACCCGTCTATCTTTTTGATAGTAAGGATTCCACTTTAATTGCACCCTCAGGAGTTATAACTCATAATTCAAAAGGCAGAAACAACTTTTCCCAGCGGTGTAAAGTAGCATCTGCACGGCATCGAAAGTTGAATTGTTCCTCTTCCTTTACTCGGTTGTCATCTCTGGTCTCATTCTGTCTGAACTCTTTAAGAGATGATCCAACTTCCTGAACGAAATGTGGTTCTGGTTACAGCTGGACACCCACAGAACTTCAAAACGGAAATATTTCCCACAAATCACAAAAAAGGTATCTTTTCTGTTGCACTGTCTGGAGTCTTTTAGCAAAGTGGCGTTTGAATTGCTCACTGGAATGCCGTGAAACACAATGTTTGGTGCGCAGCTCCATCTGCATGTTTCGAAATAGCACTAACACCTGTAACACAAGTTGCACGTGCCAGATTAATGCACGTGACAGCATAATTCTCCGGCTTAAACGCAACGATTAGAACATAAACACACTCATGCTCGGCGAATGAAACCCGCTATATTTGCACGTTCGGTAAACCGAACAGGGGTGTTCTCTCTGCCTGAGCAGAGCCGCTTCTAATCGGGCCCATGCTGTTCCAATCATCAATAAACGTACATTACGTTCAGCATCAGGGTCCATTGTGGAGCATTTATCAAACCGGAATGGGTTCTCTCTTGGTAGTGCATGTCCTGGGGGGGCGTTTCCACCTCTGAAGCAAACCAAGCATGGATCAGTGTCGACTAGTCGCTCTTGTGTCTGCAACACCTTTGTGTGTGTGTGTGTGTGTGTGTGCATATTTAGGAGCATTTTGCACAGTTTTGTCTGCACGCCTGTGTGTCTCCACATATGATCAAACACACACACTCCACACACATCCCCCCCCTCCCGCACCTTGTCTCCGTCTGTATGCATTATGTTCTTGGCATTGCCTCTGTTTCTCTCTGCTGGTCGCGCCAAAGCTGAGCCCGCCCGACAGACGACCACCAAGAGGAGGAAACGGAAGAACTCGGCCAGCAGCGCCAACAGCGCCGGCACCACCGCCAGCAAGAAGCGCAGCCCGGCCACCAACTTCAGCCTCTCCAGTCAGGTACCTGTAAGCATCAGCTCCACTCGGTTTGCCTCCTCTCTTTTTCTACGACTCTACGTGCATGTTTGCAGGTTTACAACACGGGCACGTGGTATTCCTGATGGCATTGCAGCTATTAGGTTTAATTTATTTGCACACAAGAGAGGAAAACACCGGGGAGGGTAGAAGAGAAAGTCCAATCAGAGACAAGGAAAGCTCGAGGGATTCGCGTGAAAACATGTCGCCACAAAGACAAAGAGAGAATACATGAAACATCATAAAAGGGGACAGAAAAATGACATTACATTAAATCATCAAAGCAAAAAGTGCAAGAACAGCTAAATGCATAAACAGTATGTAAAGAAGGTGAATGAAAGTGTCTCTTTAGTGGCAGTAGTGTCACATCGTTAACTTTCCTAACTCTTTCATTCCAAGTTCTCAAGGAAAAAAAGATCGAGTGCCGATAGTCAGGAGATTTTTGTTTTCTGTGTCTTTTTGTGGTTTCTTTGAATGAACCAAGTGGGGAAGTGTGGGTGTGGAAAGTGAGCCTCCCTCAGCCACCTCTGTTGAAAAGGCCCTCGACCAAGACACCGAACTCACAACCGCCCGGAGGACTTTCACTGTAACAGAGTTTGTTTCTATTTAAAGCACCGAATAAATAGTACAAAATCGGACATTGGGAATACTGAAGAAGCTTCACGTGGAGTTACACTGCAGCTACTTTCTTTCAGGGTCATTTAGCAGCAGCTCCTGGGGAAAAGCTTCAGATGGATGTGTGTGTGGTGGTCAAAGTGAAAAATCTGTAAATCTCAAACGAGTTGTTTAGAGCTCTAGATCGATCTTTAAAGCGTAACAACCAATAACTGCCTATATATCGGCTCTACGAGGTCAGATGTTACGTTTTTGAGCTGTGCTATTATTGTAACCGCAAGAGAGATTGAACATTTCTAATAGTTCCCGTAAATGTGATGAATAGAAACGGAACAGAGTAACCCAGCGCTGGGGGATAAAACCAATTATGCAACATTTCAGATCACAATCAAAAATTGCATTTTGAAAAAATGATGACAAAAATATTCGCAAACTGATGGATATTGATGGCTAATCGTCCGAGACAGTTTAGGTTCTGAATTGTGCACAAATAAACATGTCTTCTAGTTGTTGAAAGTAAAGTTGTTTTAGAAAAGCAGCACTGTTGAAAGGTTTCTAAAACATGCAGGTATGTGAGAGTGGAAGCAGAATAGTTCAATTGTTTTAGGATCATATTATTAGCTTCTTCTCACCATCACATTTTTTTTTGTTTTTACGGTAATTCTGAAATTCTCACCTCCGCATTGCACTATGTAACTCCCCGAAATCCAGTCGCAGCACATTTTTCATTGAGCAGAAGAAACCGGGTGAAGTAAAACGTCTTTTTGTTTGACTCTGCATGCTGCGTTGCAGCTACTTGTTTCTGTAACAGCCCACTTGACACAGTTAGAGGTTAAACAGCCTCTTAAACAGCTGAGTGTTGCACAACATGTCTGGCGCTCCCCTGGAGGATTTGGTGCTGCTGTGAGCGGATTGTCTGCACAGACTCGAGTTTTCCTACCTGTTCCATACGCTGCTCATTATACACTGTATTGTATTTACACCACAGCCTCCGATTTTCTGCTCCGTTTGCCTTTTTTTCTTCTTTTTAAAAAAAATGTTTTAATAAAGGTCATCACAGTCCAGCTAAAACGGTGCTGGTACCAAACAGCGTTAGAGGGTTGCAGGCTGGAATGCGCGTGTGTGTTCATTTGATTATTTCTGCTGGATGGGATGTTTGGAGGGTGCTGAATAATCCAGGCGTGTTTTAGTGTGCCAGCATCGGCCTGACAGAAAAGACTTTGATATTCGGCCGGTTTGTTTCCACTGCTGCAGACATTAGAGACTGTGGTGCTGCAGGTGCTTGAAGGATCTGGGTTTCCATCGTTAATACAGAACACACTCAAACCGAGGGCCTTAACCATAAAAATGATTTTCCTGCTCTAGTAGCTATAAGCAATATTGCATGTTGTCGGTTTGGGAGAATCTTTTTAACACTGGGTTGTTTCTCTGCCACCAGGTCGAGGTTGTTCATCTCTGTACTTAATTGTATTTTATTCTTGGGTCACTCACACAAACAGCTCGTCTCACTCATTCACGATGTACATAACACACGCGCGCGCGCACAAACACACACAAACAGACGCACACAGCGCGTGCAATTGTTTTCTCTCCAGAAGGCCGTTTGGCTCTGTGCCAGCTCTCATTATCACCGATATCTGTACACGGCCCTCTCTCCACCCCTCAGCCCCTTCCTCCGACGCTCTACTCCATCACCGACGCCCTCTGCTTCCACCACCTTCCACACACACACACACACACACACACACACACACACACACAGTCGTGGCGTGCACTCACACGTCTCGCACAGACTGGCGGCGTGGCCGGTAACACGCTGGTTACATATGTTGCGCGGCTGCCGTCTTTGTCTGAGAAGTTGTTCGTTTGTGGCTGAGCTCAAGCCTACGTGAGCCCAATGACAATAAGGAGTGGACCCTCGCATGGAGGGGGGGCCGGGAGGGGAGGGAGGGGGGGGGGCACCAGCGCCTGGAGAGGAGGAGAAGGTGCGGGGGGGAGGAAGGTGGGGGGGATGTGTATGTGAAGGGGTGTGGGGGGGGTGTATTCATAGAATGCACAACACTGACCTCTATTGGCCTGATTTAAGGGTTTATTTATGCATTTATTTAAGGCCTCCTGCAGCTCGAGTGACTTCGGCCCAATCCCAATCCCAATCCCAATCCCAATCCCAATCTCCCCCTTTACGGATTTTGAGACACGCTCCTGCTAACTCCGTGGGGGTTTGGTTCGGTCCCATTGTCAAGTCGTTGAGCGTTTGAGAGCTCTCTGGCGGACATTTTGAGCCCTTTATGAACCCTTTTCCCTTATCAAATGCTGACTTTGCCCGAGGGAATTACCCACAAGTCATTGCAATGTGATGTTAAAGACGGGATAACCAGTGAAAGCATGGAGCAAAAATAAGACAAACAAAGAGGACGGCACATGTGTGTTCAGACTGCCGTATTAAAATGTACATACTTAAAATGTTGAGGATTAAAGTTTTTTATTTTTAAGTTTCACACTATTTAAAGCCTTTACAGACTGTCGCACTTAACCACCCACCAGGTGACGTCAGGGTTAGTGGGGACATTGGGATTGGGCCATGCTGTCACTCAGTCAGTGTATTTGAAGTAAATATTATAGATTAAACCAGAAATGTGCTGTCCTAACGTTGGCAGATTGGAGATGAGTTCTCCACTGAGCTGAGAAGAATTTACCTGAGCTTTTTGAGAAAGAAATATTTATTTTCTTTTTCTATGCATGTATTGAGACTCAAATGAGTCTCGCGTTCTATTTATTTAAGAGTCAAAGTCCACAAATCCTCCTTTAATATATAATAATTATCTTGAACAAGCACTTTTCTGTGCGAAACATCCATGAACCTTCATTGTTGCACCGGTTGACATGGACCTTCATTAACATCAACACGCGGGCTGTTGGTAATATGGACTCATGCCAAACACAGATCGACTCTATTGGGTAAATAACGTTAGCTCAAGTGCTGCTTAATTATCTTTAAAAAAAATTGTGAGCATTCTTTTAGATTTACAACTTCAGTAGAAACAAATACTTTAAAATATCCCTGATATTATATTTAAAGGTTGGATTTTTGCCACTTTGTGTGACAGTTTTTGTCCACTGACCACCTTGTCGTCACCACATTACCGCCGCGTCGTCAAATTCACACTTGTTGGAAGCACGAAAACCATATACAATATGTCCTCCTCGCTCCTCGCTGCTAATCCCTGAAAAAAAGGAATTAAAATGCTAATGACACAGTTCAGTGAATTGAGGGAGCAGGGAGGCGTTAATCGCTGCGACGCTCCATTCAAAGCGTCGCCGCTTAGCTAGCGCTGAAGCTAGCGCTGAAGCTAACTCTTAGCGGCTGATGAGTAGGAGAGTTGACAGTATTAATTAGCTCACAATTAGCGCTCCCCAGTCTCAGACTAGCCACCAGCTGTTATCGTCTGAGGGATTTATTTATTTTTTGGCCCAAAATTGGCCAGAGGTAGGTTGACAGGCCTCCTCACAGGAACAGATGGTGAGCGCACGGCTTGTTAGCAATCAGCACGTTTTTAGCTAATGACTTAATTAGCTATGCAAATTGACAAATCAGTGTGGATATTGTCATTTAGTTGAAAAGCTCACCTAAATTAATTAGCCTGATTAAGGCATAGTGGGGTGTAGAAGTGGTCGCTGGGGGGGCTTTGGGGATGGCTTCGATAAATAAACTGCGTTTTGTGCTCTTCATCTAAAGGGGGGGAGGGGTTGAAGTCCTCTAAGTTGTCTAGTTGTGTTTGTCTGTTTACGTCAGTGTTTGCTGGAAGTCATCGTGTGTGTTTGTCTACTTGTACAAACCCCTGGTTCACGCGTGAGCTTCACCCGGGGGTTAATCTACATTAAAGGGCCCGAGTTGAGGTGTGTCATCGTGCATGAATCTGGGTCTGTGTGCCAGCGCGTGTGCACGCGCGTCATTTGCATGTTTGTTCCCGTTTGTGCAGGAGATGCCTGAGGAGAGCGGGAGATCTCTCCGACCGCGTTGACACACTTGGCCGGTGATGCGTGCGCTCCATTTAACTGTACAGCTTCTTCCCAGGTTATGGGAGGGGGGCAGCAGCGAGACGCTTAGTCAGTCAAAGGGAGATGAGATTGTCTCACACACACACACACAAATAAATACAGGCATGATTCAGAGCTTATTGAGCAATTGTTGAGTTTGCACCTGAAACAATAAAATAAAAAAGCAAACTTTCCCTGTGTGAGGACTCAGAAATAGCACCAGATAATGATTGATGGTTGAATCTCTCTCCTTCGCATCCTCTGACCCGCTGTGTGAGGGCCATCTCTGTGAAACATGCCTTACATGATGAGTATTGATTGGGGGGGCCGGGTACAGA